CAATTTTGATTTTTGGTGGAATCTGATGATGCAATTACTGTCCAAAATGTTTCCGATTTTTGTGCGTAAGCAGCGGGAAAATCGGAGAAATTTTCATCTTGAAATGTTCGACGGTTTCCGGGTAAAAGTAAAATTTTCGAGTGGAAATTTCGCGACGCTGGAATATACATGCTGCGTGAGACGCCTGGCTGAAAGTTAAACGCCTGTTACATTTTTTTTTCTTTCTTCTTTTTTTATCTTGACTCTTTGTTTAAAACTAATTATATTTTATTGACCGAAACCTCGTTAGACGCACCAGTTGTTAAAGTTCTGGAATTTCAAAGGCAACTCTTGATTTAGTTTGTTACTCTTTCCGGAGCAGCAGCGTACCAGAGAAAGCTGAGGCGCTTAAGGTGATTCGATAGACGCCATATTTTGTGTCAAAACTACATGCGATAAAGCGCATCGATTGGTTCCATTTTTTCAGCTACTCGTCATTTTTCTCGAATTTTGAGATCGCAATTCTGTTGTCAGGAGACTAAGGAATTCTCTTACCCATGTTGACAAACAAATTCAACGAAATATAGGCGTGCTTTTTTTAGAGAGAAAATGTCGCATTTTAGTGCAGTTTTGATATCATTATCGAATGTGATATTTTTCCTCTAAAAAAACACGCCTTTATTGAGTTAAATTTGTTTCTAAAAATTGGTAAGTGAATTCTTTAGTCTCCTGACAACAGAATTGCGATCTCAAAATTCGAAAAAAAATGACAAGTAGCTGAGAAAATGGAAATATTCGATGCGATACATCGCCTGTCGTCCTGACTCAAAATGTAGCGTCCATCGAATCACTTTAATGTCACCTATGAAAGGGTTTTTGCTAGAAGAAACTAACCTGTTTGCACCATGTTGAGATCAAGTTGTGACCAAGAAAAAAAATCGGATTCCGTATAATACATGTTTGAAAGAAAATGGCTCCTTAATTTGATATAGGCATATAATTATGCGAGATAGTAGATGGAAATATGCGTAGGAACTTATGTCACGTAATCCGGAAATATAAAAAATACTAAAAGAAGGAGTGGATGCAAAATAGGCAAATTCTTCCTCTATCTGGGTGTGGGGTTCTTTCAACATGCTTTTGCAGGACAAAAAAAAAGGAAAAAAATATTCTATGAAAAAAAGAGAAAAAAACGTATTAGGGAAAAATCTTCGGTAACATTGATCTAGAAACACATCTAAGTCTACTTCGTAATGCTCTAAATGAAATTCTAAAATGTAAGAATGAAGCAATAATAATGATTAAGTATGAGCCATGCAGGGCCGGATTAAGGGGGTGGTCACATGGGCTGCGGCCCATGGCGACAAATCTAAAGGGGGCGGCAAATTTTGCAATTTTTTTAAATGTAGGTATAAAAAAAAATCGGATTTAGAAAAAAAAATACAAACGAGAGAAGGCGACAAAATCTCTCATTTCCTGAGAGTATAATAATTTCTATTTTTGTCGTCTTTCAGAGATACAAGAGACAGCACCTTTTATTGAAGTTAAGAGAGAAACCAAACAGTTAAAACACGCAATTTGGCCCGGACGTAGAGAGAAATGATGACGAGGACTTGAGATGAAAAGGAGAAGCCCTCGGCGCAGCGATCGACATGTAACACATATTAGCGCCTACAAGACTGAGTGAATACTTCACGCATTGCGTCAAACACAGTGCGTTCAGCAGCGGTCGGCGTGAGACTCACAGCGCCTACAAGACTGTTGGAATACTTCACGCATTGCGCCAAACACGGTGCGGTCAGCGCGGCACGGCGGCGGAAGTTAAAATCATTAATCCACATTTATGTTTGTTCTTTTGTAATTTTTTCGTTCATTTCTTATGACTAGAAGGCCTTGTCCATGCAGAGATAGGTTTACGAAACTTAACTTTCGCACAAAGTTCTGTGAACTTTTGCTAGTAGCGTTGACAGGGCTTTCGCAAAAAATGTGTCCAACACGAGTAAACGCGTCTTATGCACCCCTCCCCCGCTGTCACGTTCATTCGATGGTTTTTATTGATGTTTCAAAACAAATGAGAAGGGGGCGGCAAGTAGGTAAATCCGGCTCTGGAGTCATGTGCGATTTATAAATAAAGACTTGTGTGACACAAATGTCTTCGTTGTTTAAATTGGCCTTCCATTGGTACTTTTTTGGAAGTATTTTAAAAGGAACCACCCCAATTGTGACCTTTGCCTTGAGACTAATAAGAATACATGCATGACAGGGCTCATATCAGAATGGGTATGGTTACTATTGATTTAAGTGCATCCATTTACGAGTCTTTCTGGTGATGTCTTCTTAAAAGAATTTATAATTTTAATTTTATTTTTCATTCATTAATTTTTTTACTGTGCGGAGAAAATTCTGAAAAAATTTCAAGGAATGATATTCATTAATCTTTTTCAGAGAAATGAAATGCGTGTGGAGATTTTCGAACAACGCAAATGAGATGCGTGGTTTTCATTGGCGGATCCAGCAATTTGGCAACACTAGATTTCCTCCATTTAAACCTATGCTAAATTATCGATTCTTGTCGGAGCGCCTGGCCCCTCCGAGAATCGATACATTTCCGTAGGTTTAAATGGAGAAAGCCAGTGTTGCCAAATTGCCGGGTTCGCCAATAATGGTTTGGGAGTTCCGTCGTCAAACGTCACTTTTACGAGGTAAAAACTCTAAAATATGGCCCGAACTGTATGTATCGAGATGATAAAAGAGCGCTGCAAGGGCTCACAGTATTTAACGGGGAAAGCAAGGCCAAAAAAAAATAAAAAAAATTCCGAATAAAGTTAAAATTTGAGTTCCAAAGAAAATTGGTCACTTATGCCCGCACCATGTTTCCTATAATACTAATCTTAAATTATTTACCCTGATATTCTTGTTCTTTTTTTTCGGTTTTCTCCTAATATTGAGGACCAACAAGCAACGTCTTAGGACGAGGTTGGAGCAATTCGATTAAGTGATACCATACCAATGAGACTTGACGCACTCCCTGGCGTCGAATGCAGCAACATGTAGTTCTCGATTCTACCGACAGAATGAGCCCAATTGCTCGTTCCGATGGAGCGAAAGCCAAATCCATCCCGTGCGGTGGCGGTAGAGGACCTTTGAGGGAAGAATATCTATGATCACTGCTCCTCTGCCGTGCTAAATAAAAACACTGTATAAACATTCGAATGTGGCCAAAGTTCTTCTTTGAAAATATTTATTTTTGAAGAAAGTTATGAATGTTTCTCCTGATAATTTTCAGACTTTTTAGATCAAACTACGGACGAAATCCTGTGAAGAATCGGAGGAGAAATACTCATCAACCTTCCTGAAATTGTGTGATTTCGAAGGGAAATTTGGCAACGCTTGATGGCTTACACGGCGTTCTTACTTAGCACAATAGTGCTGCCATGCTGAGGAAGAGAGTAATATGAGTATTCACATGCTATCAAATTTAGCTCGGTAAAATATTTATTTTTGAGAACATTCAAGGATAATTTTGCTCGAAATTTTCAGATGCTCTCGAAAAACGAGCAGAAACTCTGAACAGCTCTCTAGGCTTTTGCTTCCATCAAAACTGGTGTAAGCGAGTCAGGGAAAAGGACGATTAAGGTGGAAGAGTAAAGGCAAACATCCATGAAACAAGTTACCCTCGTAAAAATGACCGGTAGAACAGTGAGAAAATGTCAAGTTGAGCAGTTACATTTTTTCTGATCCTCACTAAACATTTTCCTTGCTTTTCTTCTAAAACAATGAATCTGCTCCTACTAATTTATGATTACAAAATCCACTCCGATCGATCTCTTTCTGACAACAGTTCATCAAGTTTTCGATCGACCAAGAGCAGTGCAATTACTCTCTACATAGATGCACTCCTGAGGGACCAATCAATCATAAATAAGGGCACCCCCCCC